GGAGGGGGGGGGGGGTTCAGAGAGTGGGGCAGCGTGTGGAAGGTGGCGGATGCAAGCAGCACGGTGCAAGCAGCACGGTGCAAGCACACACGCGCGCGCGCGCGCGCGCGCGCGCGAAGAGAGGGAAACCGGTATACTGATGTAAACGCCACCGTACCTTGCGGAGCACGTGGCGCTGCATGTCCAGCAAGGCCTTGCCCACCGACACCGCGTAGTCATCCCCGGCATCCCTCCCCTTCTGCGTGCCGGGCCCATCACCGCTGCTGGCGTCTCCAGCCCCGCAGCCCCCCATCTTGTCCCCCGGCACGTTCTCCGCCAACAGTTGCTTTAGCGTGCCGTATGCGTTCGTGTCACGAGCTACACCGAGGGAAGCGTGCGAGTCGGCGGAGAGGAAAAAGTCCCACAGGTACACAGCGGAGGCCACGATTGCGACTGCCGCGGCGGCTTTGAGTTCTCGCATGTCCGGAGATGGCGGGGAGAAGGACGGAGTAGACGTGCCGACCCTAACGTTAATCTTGTTGCTGCTACTGCTGCTGCTGCTGCTGCTGCTGCTGCTGCTGCTGCTCATGGAGGACGACAGCGTGCGTTCCCAGTCGTCGCTTGCCGAGTGTCTCCTTATCGTCTGGGATGCCGACGGGGATAGTGCCGGTGTGGGGGTAAGGAAAGGAGGGGGATTAACTATGGGGACCGACCGCTTGACAAATGCCATCTGCTTTTCCGAAATTTACCTGATTGAGGAGCGCTGGGTCTGGGAGGTATCCAGCGAATGTCAGCCTACTTCTCTTGCACTCCAAGACCTTATTAATAGTGATGGACCGAGCACTACTACCCCCAGCGTGCCCGCCTCGATGATCGCCTCCCTCTCTTCGTTCACCCCCCCGTGGATCATAAAATACAACCAGACGCTCACCCCACTGCCACGGGAAGATAGAGCGGAGCCCCGTCGTTGTCGCACGGATCGCCTGGTCTGCAGCAGGGCCATGCGAGGCTTGACCGTCAGCTCGATTTCTTTCCACACCTGCAGCCACCCGGGAGTCTGAGTGACGATCATGTGCAGCATCATCACCTGAACGCATTCGAATCAAACGGAGGGAAAGAAGGATCGTCCGTGGCACAGGCATACACAACACACGCGTGCGGAGAGCGACAAGCCACCAGCTTAGGGTCAGGCCAAAGAGCATCGTCACCGTACTCACGAAACCGACATGGGTAGGGACGCGTCGAACTGGATCCCCTCCTCCCTTGTCCGTTGTGTGCTTCGTGGATCACCTCTGTAAAAAGATGATGGCATGTCTGACGGATGTGTGCCTGCCTCGCCTACTACGACCAACCCCCGCAGTCTCCGCAACAAAAAATGGTCGCATCCAACCCCTTTGTGAACTTTAAGTCCGGGAAGACGGGGGGGCATCAAAAGCAGCGGAACGTTTTGCTTACATCTCTCAGTTCCTGTTCTGCCATGATTCTCTCGAACGGCACATGCACGAAATCAGGGCTGTTGCTGAGATGGGCCACCATTCTTCCTTTCCAAGGACTGGTCTTAAACCTGCAGCACGCCAAGGGCACGATGTTGTCATGTTCTCATTTAGCCGACACGAGATACGACTGCATCTGGATCGATCGAGACACTGTTTCCAAACATTGGACGGGCGGGGGCTGGACGCAACTCTCGAAGTCAAACACGGTGAATTCCCGAGAGGAGAATGCCGTAAGCCAACTGAACCCGTACGACACGCTAAACCGACTCCCCCCACAAGAACACTGCTGTTGCGGCGAGGGGATGTTCGAAGTTCCCACATACTTTCCCTCCTTCCACGGGCACAACAAACAGAAGCAACACACCAGACCAAACGGGCCAGCTCGTGCCCCCCCCCCCCATGAACACACGGCCAACACCAGGAATGGTACAACACCCCATCCACCCTCAAATGAGTACTCGGGAGGGCGGCAGCAGAGGTGACATAGATCCTGCCTGGAACCAATATGGCGGTGAGCTACGACAACGTTTGCCATGCCAAGACCACAGCCATCCCGCCAACAGCGCAGACGAGACAGCGACAGGGAAGCCCCAAGAGAGCAAGAACCAAAACAACGATACCCCCCAAAACGGAACGCCTTCGCGCGACTACTACCTTCACGAGGAAATATAGTGGAGAGGAGGTACGCAAACCCTATTCCCTAACCTTAACCCACTTTCCCGAATGTATGCTTTATGTAACATGTTTACTAAAAACGATAAACCTACGAAGGCTGTACCTGCAAAACACGGCCTACCGTACCGTACCCCCGTCTCACCGGTAGAAGCATCCCGCCGTCAGAGTTTCCTCCACCTTCTCCTGAGAAGCCCGGAAAATCTTGGACAGGTCTGCCGCAAGAAACTCCACGGGCAGGGAAACCCAGTCCTCCGCTCCTGCGGCCGCCTTCCTCCCACCGCTTCCCTCCCTCGTGCCATTCTCCCCTGCTTCCGCGCCATGTTTCGCCAAGACGTCGCTGCCTCCGCCCTCGGTGCTGCTTCTTGCTGCTGGGGCGGGAGGAGGGTCTGCCGATGACGGCGGTTCTCCAGCCTTTATGTTCCCTCCTCCTCCTCCTCCTCCTCCACCCTTGCCTTCTTGTCCATCTCCCGGTGCTGCGGAGGCGGTGGTGCTTGCGCCTAAGCCCTCCCCGCCGCCGACGCCGGGCGATACCGATACTGCCGAGTCGGTGCTGGCAGTTGACGCCACACCCTCAGAACCACTGCCCGATGACGCTGCGTCTTGTGGCTGCGCGACTTCCTTGGCTGTCTTAGCGGAGGGATCGGGACGGGCTACACGACCCACACTCGGCAAGCCGGAGACATCGCCGTCCCATGACCTCCGCGTTCTGATCTTGGCCTGTCACACGTCAGGAGAGCCGGCAACCCGAACGACAAAGGGGGAGGAGGAGGAGGAAGCGTCGCCTCGTGAGGGGTGACCAACTGTACTGTGCCACAGGGTAAACATTCCTTGAGACATTCCATGAAAAATTCCATGAAACATTCTATGAAAAATTCCATGAAATGTTCCATCAGACATTCAATGAGGCTTGTAGCACCGACAGACCGTATCTATGCCTCTTTAAGGCGCAATAGTTGGCTGCGCCCGTTTTATGGACGCCACACGAGTGGAACAGTAGAGAATAATAAAACTCCCAACTAGCTCATGGAGAAAGAGAGAGATGATCTGGCTGGCAAAAACAAGAGCCAACAGGTAAATTCGACATACAACTCTCTCATGCCCCCTACCCCAATGTCCTAACCTGCCGCGTGTCTGTCAACTCGTGGACGTAGAAGCCCGACCCTGGCCGGAAGAACTTGTCGTAGACCTTGCTCATGTCGTCTCTGCTCGGAGCCATCACCGCCGACATCTCAAACAGCACCTGCACCTCCAGCCAGAACATGAGCCGGGCCTCATCCAGGCTGATGATCACGGCCTCCTTCTTGCCATCGCCGCCACCGCTGCTGCTGCTGCTGCCGCCGACCCCTCCGGTTCCCGCACAACGCACCTCTAGCATGTAGTTCAACAGATAGACCACCTTGCGGGGGTCCTGGCAACAGGTAGTACATACAGCAGCAGCAGAGGTGGTGTCGGCTGTGGGCAATACAAGTAAGTGTTGTTGGTGTTCAATGTCAATAGGAGGTGCAGGGCCACGGAGGTGGAGACCAAGAGAAAAAGAGAGCTTTTGTGTGACCCGATTTTTTTTGTCAAGGGCACATTGCTACCTCCAACAAGCGCGACCGGCAATGCGTTGACAAGCGGTGGCAGCAACATCACCAAAGCAGTGGGTAGACTGCCCTTTTATCGCTGAATCGCCCGAATGGGGCAGAATCAACACGCGCGGTGGATGCGCTGCAAGTGCAGAGTCAGTTGTGGTGGGACGATACCTCTTGATGACTCTTGATGTCAAAATTGAAGGGCCCCACAAGATATTCACGTACATATCTCCAACGGGCATTGCCTGTCCTGACTGCTGCGTCCTGTGCCCGGTGGTTTGCTGTGGCGTGGATTGGTAGAGTATTGGTGGGGCCAGAATAAAAACAACCTGAACCACCAAAATCTTGAAACGTCACTCACCAATGCGACGTCTCTGAAGGTGAGTCGGGGCGAGACGCGCTCGAAAACCATCACCACGTTTCCCTTGCGAGGGTCATCCTGCTTAGCAGTGATGAAGTCTCGGAGGCGGTCCTACAAACGGGCAAGGGGAGGGGGGCACGGGGCAAGGGGGAGGGAGCTTGGGGCGTGTTGCGTTTCTGAAATTGGCTTCGATCGCGCCCATCGGCTGACCAACTACACGACGTCAGTCTTAGGATTTGTGGCGTGTGTGCCGTGCATAAAACGTGTGTCATTCTAAAAAATAGCACCGACAGCGACTTGCTACTTCGGCTCATGAGTGAGATTTCCTCTCTCTTCATGTGTCGCCGAGGTAAATATATAACGAATGGATCTGATCAAGGAATGCAACCAACGAGAGGGCTAAGGCCCGAACCCGCACAGGTGTGGTTCTCAACGGTTATTCTAGTGACTACACCAGTTTCGTGCACTCTCGACAAGGAACCTTGTCATCATCACATCATCATACTTGCAGTCGGGACGAGACTGTAGCAGTCCCTAGGGTAGTGAGCGGATGGGTAACCCTTTTGGTTAATTTCGCCGATTGCTGACCGACGTAGTTGGGAACAACAGTAGCAACAACAACAACAACACGTTATTGCGCTCAGCGCTTGGCCTCAACACCCTAACAATCACGCCTCTCTGTGGGTCCGTTCCTGGGGAACAGCGGAAGAGGGAAAAACCATGCAGATCGGACAAAAGAGGTATACCGGACGAAAGAAGTACAGCTTTCAACACGCGGCGGAATTATTCCTCCCTCTTCCACCCAATCTTTTTCTGACTGCCCTCACCCTTCGCCGCGCGGTCTCGATGGCGGCGAGAGCCACCGGTAGCGTTGCACCCTCCACGCTCTTCCCGTCTACCGACACCAGGACGTCCCCGACACGCATGCATGCTTGTGGTCCGGGGGGAGGGTACGGTCCTTCCGCGAAACCGTTGGCATAGACGCCTGCCCGGTGCAGCGTGGTAAGGCGAGCAGGGTAAGGCGGCCGTAGAACAAACAGAACAGGAATCGGCGTAGACGCCTGTTCGGTGCGACCTTTTCATAAAAGCAAGGAGTAGGTGGCTCAAGACGTCTTCGACGGGAAGTGTGGAAGCAAGAACAGGAGGTGCTGGAGGAAGCCGCGATCATCGATCGCCATACATGCAGGAGGCTTCACGAAAAGAGGACGGGGTTTGAGGAAGGGAGAGCAACTGTAGATGTGCGTTCAAAGAACAGGGATGGGGGCGTAACCGTATAAAACCCGCATGAATATGTTCACCTCTTGCCCCCACGACGGCAACGACCTAACACATGGCGAAGCACGCAACCTTCGAATCCATCTGTTCGGGTGTGCCTAGAAAAAATCAGCGGTAGCGCTCTGTTTGCATCGTTACCAGCCTACCGTTTGCACAAGTGGTACTGCCAATTATACCACACGAGGCCACATGAGATCATCTCATTCTTACTCTTATATACAGTAAAGTCGTCCAAGTGTGTGTGCCTGAGAGTAACGGTTGAACAACAGTAGTGCGGAGAAAAAGGGGAGGGCGCTACACGTCGACATGAGAAAAATCATGCCCGGTTAGACAACGAGGAGGATGGAATTAGGATAGGATAGGACAGGATAGGACAGGGTAGGATAGCACCGAGGGCCTCGCGAACCCAAGCCAAAAAGACGGACATGTACAGATGTACAGCAGTGCCAAATACTTCCAAGAATACCGCAACAGGACTAACTGCATTCAGTAGTCTCGTCTATAGCAGGACGTACATATTCTACACTGCTCTCGTTTGGAATGGGAATCACAATCACTGTACGCAACCTTTGTACCATATGTTGGGATGATACCGGACATGACTCAACAAGGGACTCCTTGAGAAGCATCACACAGCGGAAGGTGTGTTATCCTGGTGCCCGTCCGGAAAACCAAAAGCACAAAAAACAATGGTGCACGTGCACGTACGTGCCCAGAGGACAGCGGGTTGACCAACCTTTGTGCCCAGCGCAAAGTACCAAGTACAAGACGAGCAGCACAACAATTTAGTCAGACGGGGATCAGGCAAAGACACCACGCATGTCTTTCCCTTGGACTGCTGTGTCTGCTGTGCGGAGATGCCGTGAGAACTCCACTCATCCAGGGACGAGTCCCAACGGAAATCTAAGCTGCGAGGTCACACCCTCGATCTTTACCGGTTATCCCGACGGCAGCCTGCATTCAACATTTGCACGTAGACCACGGGTTCAGACGGACCTCAGCTCTCAACTGCACACAACTCTCTCCATCCTCGAAGTTTTTTAAGTTCTTCCATTTCGACACCAGGTTCGTACCAATACCATCCGAAAACGGGCCATGGAAGCACTGCACAGCGCTGCTTGGCTCACAGGTACACGCAGCAACAGCGCAGAACGCAGTGAACTTCGCTTGTCAAGCGTCAGTCTGCCAGTCACCTCTTGTGCTCTTGGTCTGGTGCAGCTTGAGGCCCAAAGGCGCTCCACCCTTCTTGACGATGATTTCATATCTCCGAACTGGCCAATTCGGACCGGACATCAGGGACAGGCCTGCCATACCATACACGAGCGGTTGGGCAACAGGAGCAGCGAGTTTCAGGAGAGCTCCCCCAACAGCAGCGACAGCCCCGTTGTTGGCCTTAAGTCGACAGAAGAAGGCCAGCAGACGGTATCCAGGATTGCAATCTTAAACCACCTCCAGCCTGCAGCCGTGATGACCCACGCCATGATCTGATATTTGACCGTGCTTACCTTGAAAGGAAGACGTGTGTTGGTGTGTTGGGGGAGACCTGGCGCCCTCACAAGCAAGGAACCAGCACCCTGCTCTCACAAGCAAAGGACAATGGATGCACCGACACAGCCTAGCGATGGCACATCTGTCTGTGCAGTGTAGAAGCCGTCAAGCCCGCGTGCACCAGTGTTATTTGGTTTGCAGAGCTCCTCTGGAAATTTTCGCTCCTTTTCGACGAGTTGTCGCCGTGAAGCACACCGTTGGTGATGAAGAAAGGACCTGCCTGTAGCTTTGGTACGTGTGGACGGTTTAGGAAAAAGAACGAAGCCAATCGGTCCCCGAGGCGCGAAGTATGGGCGGATAACGTAAAATCTCAACTGCGCCGGGGATCCGCACACAGTATTCATCAACAAAAATCACATACCCCGGAAAAGCCCCCTGACGTACACTTTCACAAAACCAGCCATAGCAGCCACCCACCGCGCCCTAGACACTACGACAGCGCGTCAGATCACGGAGTTAGTAAAGCTCGAGGGGTTAGTCCAGGAGAAACGCCGTCAATCGGCGCTGTGTGAGCACAGCAGACCTGCTTGGGAGCAAATTTTTGGCACGCGGAGCAACTCGGTGCGGCGGTCAGAGGCAGCCTGATCTAGTGCTAGCAGGAGAGTTAGCTGCTACCAGGTGGGGGGGGCTGTAGCTGAGGTTATCTCCTTTCGTCTGCTGAAGTTTGGTGAGGGATCTCTCTCGCAGGGCTTAGAAATCGGTGATCTAGTGAGCAGCTGGAAATCGGCAGATTCACCGGTTTTCGGCGATGTCGCGGGGTCCTCGCGCCATCTGTGGCAAAGCTGTGCATGGTAAAGAAGCGGCAGAC